CTTCAAAGCAATCAGCTGTGGGTGAGAGCAAGAGGGAGAAAATAACAAGAATTCGCACCCTTAAAAAATCTGTGAATGGTATAAATTATCTCCCCATATCCACAACTATACACACACACCACAGCTTTGCATGAATTTTATACGAAGAACTGAAAACTGCTCCTCTACAATCAATAAGAAATGAACCAAGTTTGTCAGTAGTTCCCAAAACATATAATAGCAGAAGAAATTAATTCATGAACAACTGGATGATAAATGAATGAATGGCTAAATCAATAAATAAAAAGGCTGATGAATGAATGAGATGAAAAAATCAGTGAATAGGTATATGTATTTGATTTATCACTAGTATATGGTTGAATTAATCTATTAATAAATGGTTCATAGAAAAATAAGACAGTAAACCCATAGACAATCATATGAATGCTAGGTATATAGAGGATTGTGTAATGAATAAAGTAGTGAAGGTATGAGTAAATGAAGAAATAAGTGGAGGAAAGGCTTGAATGAAGAGTAATCTGGAGTGAAAAAATGTGTTATGAACTGAATAAATGAAAGAATGATGGATGAATGAAGCATGAATGAAGCATTGAAAGACTGCTGATAAGGAATGAAACCTTGTTCAAAGATAGATGAACGGGTAGATGTATGAGTAATTTAAAGAGCCAATGAATAAGTGAGAAGTATCAGTGTTCAAAGGATCAGCTCGAGTCAATTAATCCAAATAAATGGATAAAGGTATATGTTCTTAGATGAGTATAGATAAAAGAATCAGTAAATGTACAGGTGAATTAATAAACAGATGCAAGAATGGATGGATTGTTCAATTTGTCAGTGTGATAGGCAAAAGCAGTAGAAAAACAGGTCAATAGATTTTTCATTTACATCTATATCCTCAGCACCGGCTTAGTTGAGAGACTGTTCAAAGCCTGTAGAGCTCCTGGCACAAGTGCCCAAAGTTTTCTGTCACCAAGAGGTCCCCTCACCCCAACTCTGCAACCCAAAGGGCATCACAATTCCTTCCCAATTGGCTGTCCATTGCCCACCTGTGATATGGGGATATTTGAGTAAAAACAGGAAGCCATAGCGGAGAGTTGTGCTGGTGGTCTCCGTGCCAGCAAAGAAGAGTGAAAGCGAGGTCAGGATGAGGTTCTTGTGGTGGAACTCAGTGTGCTGGTCAGCCTTGTCCTATGTCCAGAGCAAGGCGACAGGAGAGGGTCAGGGAAGACTGAAGCCTTGCTGCAGGAAGGGTCATCTGTCCCTCTGGACACACTCCCTCTGTTTCTGGGACTCAGGTAATCTGGCCTGCTTTGCATTTCTCTATCTTTGACATCCAGCTACAAGTCTGTCTGTCTGTCTGTCTGTTTCTCTCCTTCTGATATTCTTAATTCTACCTGGCTCTGTTTCAATCTCTCTCCACCTCTTTGGCTTGTTTCTCACTTTTGGGGTTCCCATTCTTTTTCCTCCTATAGGGCGTTTTATTGCTTCTTTTTGCCCTTTGCCCTGATTTTTTCCTCAGCTACTAGTTGCCTCTTTCTCTTTCCCTCCCATTTCAGTTTCTCCCTCCTATCTTTTGCTGCCTTCCACCTCATCTGCTTTTTGCTTCTTCTTCTCCTGATTTCCCTTGTCGCATTCTGTCCACCCCATCCTCTCATCTCCCCTCCCCTCTGTCCTCCTCTACCTCTTTCTTTTCCTTCCCTTCACTTCACATCCCCATCCTCCCCTCCTATCCGTTCCCCTCTCCCAGATCTCACTTTGTCCATGCGGAG